GCTTTTGCATAGTCAATAAAACACAGGTAAACATCTTTCTGGTATTCTCTGCTTTCAGCCAAGATCCATCTGACATTAGCAATGATATCCCTCCTTCCACGTTCTCTTCTAAATCTGGTTTGAATTTCTGGCAGTTCCCTGTCCATGTACTGCTACAACCACTTTTGAATGATCTTCAGCAAAATTTTACTTGTGGTAAAAAAGACCAGACTTACTGGCCTGACAGAGACTGGAGAAACCCTGAGAGTATGGTCCCCGGACACCTTTTTAGCTCAGTAATGAAGTCACTCCCCGGGTTCACTTTTCAGCCAAAGATTAGACAGCCCCATAAACCAAAACGAGACTAAAGGGCACAGCAGCCCAGGGACAAGGACTATAAGGCAGGAGGGGACAGGAATGCTGGTAATAGGGAACCCAAGGTTGAGGAGGGAGAGTGTTGACATGTCGTGGAGTTGTTTACCAATGTCATAAAACAGTATGTGTACTAACTGTTTAGTGAGAAACTACTTGTTCTGTAAACCTTCCTCTAAAGTACAATAAAAAAAATTTTTTTAAAACACTTCCACTTGTGGTGATATTAATGATATTGTTCGATAATTTCCACATTTGGTTGGATCACCTTTCTTTGGAATGGGCACAGATATAGACCTCTTACAGTTGGTTGGCCAGGTAGCTGTCTTTCAAGTTTCTTGGCATGGATGAGTGAGTGCTTCCAGCGCTGCATCCATTTGTTGAAACTTGTTAGTTGGTATTCAGTCAATTCCTAGAGCCTTGCTTTTCACCAGGGCCTTCAGTGCAGCTTAGACTTCTCCCTTCAATACTGTCGGTTCTTGGTCATATGCTACCTCTTGAAATGGTCGAATGTCGACCAGTTCTTTTTGGTACACTGACTCTGTATATTCCTTCTATCCACTTTTCATGCTTCCTGCGTCATTCAATATCTTGCCCATAGAATCCTTCAAAATTGCAGCTCGAGGCTTGAATTTTTTCTTGAATTCTTTCAGCTGGAGAAATGCTGAGCATGTTCTTCCCTTTTGATTTTCTAACTCCAGCTCTTTGCACATGTCATTATAATATTTTACTTTGTCTTCTTGAGCTGCCTTTTAAAATCTTCTCTTCAGCTCTTTTACTTCATCATTTCTTCCATTTGTTTTAGCTACTCTACATTCAAGAGCAAGTTTCAGTCTCTTCTGATATCCATTTTGGTCTTTTCTTTCTTTCCTGTCTTTTTAATGACCTCTTGCTTTCTTCATGTATGATGTCCTTAATGTCATTCAGCAACTCGTCTGGTCTTCCATTATCAGTGTTCAATGCGTCGAATGTATTCTTGAGACGGTCTCCAAATTCAGGTGGGATATATTCAAGGTTGTGTTTTGGCTCTCGTGGACTTATTTTAATTTTCTTCAACTTCAACTTCAACTTACATACGAGCAATTGATAGTCTGTTCCACAGTCGGCCTCAGGCCTTGTTCTGACTGATGATACTGAGCTTTTCCATCATCTCTTTCCACAGATCTAGTTGATTTGATTCCTATGTTTTCCGTCCAGTGAGATCCATGTGTAGAGTCACCGTTTACGTTGGTGAAAAAAGGATTTGCAATGAACAAGTCATTGGTCTTGCAAGATTCTGTCATGCGATCTCTGACATTGTTTGTATCACCAAGGCCATATTTTCCAACTATCAATCCTTCTTCTTCATTTCCAACTTTCGTATTCCAATCACTAGTAATTATCAATGCATCTTGATTGCATGTTTGATCAATTTCAGAAGGCAGAAGTTGGTAAAAATCTTCAATTTCCTCATCTTTGGCGTTAGTGGTTGGTATGTAAATTTGAATAATAGTCATATTAACTGGTCTTCCTTGTAAGCATATGGATATTATCCCATCACTGATGGTGCTGTACTCCAGGATAGATCTTGAGATGTTCTTTTTGATGATGAAAGCAACGCCATCCCTCTTCAATTTGTCATTCCCGGCATAGTAGACCATATGATCGTCTGATTCAAAATGGTCAATACGAGTCCATTTCAGCTCACTAATGCCTAGGATATCGATGTTTATGCATTCCATTTCATTTTCCACAACTTCCAGTTTTCCTAGATTCATACTACATACAGTCCATGTTCTGATTACCAATGGATGTTTGCAGCTGTTTCTTCTCATTTCAAGTCATGCCATATCAGCAAATGAGGGTCCCAAAAACTTGACCCCATCTACATCATTAAAGTCAACTCTACTTTGAGGAGGCAGCTCTTCCCCAGTCATATTTTGAGTGCCTTCCAACCTGAGGGGCTCATCTTCTGGCACTGTATCAGACAATGTTCCACTGCTTTTCATAAGGTTTTCACTGGCCAGTTTTTTTCCTAGTCTGTGTTAGTCTGGAAGCTCTACTGAAACCTGTCCACCAAGGGTGACCCTGCTGGTATTTGAAATACTGGTGGCAAAGCTTCCAGTATCACAGCAACACACAAGCCACCACGGTACGACAAACTGACAGATGCGTGATGGGGTAGCACTGTAAGCCCTGTTTTACGAAGCGAGATGCCCTCAGAAGTTCAGGGAGGGTAAAGACCATCTGTCCAAGGACACTCTGCGGAGATTTGAACCTACACCCTTGAAACATGTAGATGGTATAGACAGGAAAGGAGTGGCCAAACATGTAGCAGAGTTTGGGTATGGATGGACTCTGAGGACACAGCTCATGTGGGACACGTACAAAGTGCTGGGTCTTCCCACCCAGTGTGGTGCTCTCTCTCTGGAGCTGAGCAGTGAGGCTCCTCCACACACCCCCGAGCCCCCACCAGTAAAGGCTACCCCCCCACCCAGCCCCACCTCCAATCTCTGGAGGATGGAGTAGTCCCCCTGCAGAAGGTCAGTTTTAAGGGGTGGTAACCAAGACTCAAGAGTCCCTGCGTGGTGCAAACAGTTAAGCTCTCAGCTGTTAACCAAAAGTCCACCCAGAGGCACCTCAGAAGAAAGGCCTGGATGATCTACTGCTGGAAAATCAGCCATTGAAAACCCTATAGAGCACAGTTCTACTGATACACATGGGGCCACCGTGAGTCAAAGTCCGCTCAAGGGCAACTGGTTTGGTTTTTGGTTTAACCAAGACTCAGTTTTTTCTTCTCTGGTCTTGTTCTTCCTCAGCCCCTAAAGACAATGAAGAGCGAGTGTTCAGGGAGCGCTTGCGGCCGAGGAAGCGGCAGGGCGCCGTCAGGCGCAGGGTCCACCAGGTCAATGGCCACAAGTTCATGGCCACCTACCTTCGGCAGCCCACCTACTGCTCCCACTGCAGAGACTTCATCTGGTAAGTGCCTCTCTCAGTTACCCTTCTCTGTGGGTAGAAGTGGGGGTGGGCGATGGGTGGGCGATTACAGACTTCACTTGGAAAGTGCTGATGTACTTTATTTCGTCTTTATTTGATTTCAGAAGACTTTTCTGAAAGGCTAAGTATGTGTTAAGAGCTTGGGGAAATACAAGGAAAGAAGAAACCATGGTTCCTGGCATCTTTATATTTAGGATTATATTGTATACTATTGTATTGTATTGTATTTATTGAAGGTGTTAAGATTTTATGACCAATAACACTACAGTAAAAACTCTGAAACCCGGAACCTGTGTAAGGTGGAAACCTGCTAGAGAAGGAAAACTCAAATATTTTGTACTAGAACGAGCAATAGAAAAGTGGTAAGACTGCACCCTGTCAAAGGCAGAAAACTTGGGAGACCCAGAAAAACAAGGCAGTCCCCATGAGTTCCGGCTCTGCCAGGTTTCACTATTGCAGTTGTGTTTTTAAAAAAAGAATCCTTATCTTTTAGAAAGACATACTGAATTATGTACAAATGAAATAATATGATGACTGGAGTTTGTTAAAAAAAAACCATCTGGATGAAGGGGAGAAGAGGCAGGGGTAGAGATGAAGCAAGAGTGGCCATCTGTTGATAATCATTGAAGCTTGGTGATGGAGACATGAGGGTCTGTTGTATTAGTCTCATTACTTTGGTATAGATTTGAATTTTTCTATAATAAAGATTTAAAAAGATGCTTGAGTGCCTATATTTATGCTACAAAGCAGTTTTTAGTAAGGGTCCTAGTAGTGGTTCTGTGAAGATGGTGAGGTTTCAAAGGAGTAAGAGAGCAGTGTTGGCTGGAGTGAACAAGGAAGGCTTCCTGGGGGAGGTCGCATTCTCCTTTCATGAAGACTAGGATTTTGATAGGCAGAAACAGGTAGGTAGTAGGTCTTTTGGGAGGTGGAGGAGAGTAAGGAGCATTGGTCTTGGGGGCTAGAGGGGACTTTGATTGAATACTCACCAGGTGCTAGGTTCTCTGCTAGGCACTGGAAATAGCTAATGAAATCTTCCCGGTATCCTGTGAACTATGTGTTATTAACCCCGTTCCACTGTCGACAAAACCGAGGCTCAGAAATGCAAAGAGGCTTGCCTGAGGTCCTCCACTAGGAAGCGTCAGAGGCATGACTCCAGCCCTGGTTAGCCTGACTTGAAGCTTGTGCTCTGACACGCTCTCTGCGCTCTTTGGAGCTGGCGTAGAGGTTGGCAACACTCTTGGATCAGGTGAGGGAAAGCAAGTGAGGCCAAGTTGCAGTATGAACCCAGCCAGGAGGCGTGCAAATTGGGCTCTGAGGACCCCTGGAATCCCGGGGTGTCCACCAATGGCTTGTCTTACCCTCGGTCACGGAGGTTGGCCTGTATGACAAGGCTCAGAGCAATTTCAGCCCGAATGAAGTGGAAACAATGTCCATTTCCACCGACAGACACCTCTCATTCCCAGGGCTGACTCAATCCTCCGTCTTCCATTTTCTGTATTTTGGTCAGGGATTGGGTAGTTGGAGAGTGGGGGTTGGGAGGGGCACTGAAAGCTCAGTCTCTGGATTCGGGTGTCCTCTAAGCCCATGGTGAGCCACAGCGAGCTTTAGCTGCCTGAGGTGTACCTGAGTGACTGTGGCTTCTCCAGCTGGGCTGGGAATTGCAGGGAGCTGCCTGACTGACTATTGTCAGTGCTCTGAGCACAGGGCTACGGCCGAGTGGGTTTATTTTTCTGTGTCCATGCTGATCCTCAACCCTGCCCCAGGCCATGGAAGAAACCTTTCACATTGGCCTCAACCCAAACTGTAGAGCAAACCCCAATCCTGGCCACAGGCTGTCTCTGGAACGCCCAGGGTGTATGCCGCCAGCCACAGCCCTCCTCCACTGTTAGAGAACCACAGAGTGTGCCTGGTGCTGCAAGGTGAGGGAGGTCCATTTTACCCATGAGAAGGGGCATGTTCCACTGATTGAGGCTGGCTGAGAGCCAGCAGGGTAGTTTGTGGCTTTCCAGAACAATACTGGCCCCCACTCAAATGCCTGTTTGTATAGGCAACCAAGCACTCACACTGACCACATCTTGCCCTACTCTGAGTGCTGACCTGCCCTCCGTGGCCTTCAGAGAGAGGCATTCTCAGGAACCCCACGGGTGGGAGTGAGCTCTTCACGCTCAGAGCGGGTGGGCATGGTCCTCATTGCATTGTGGCTGGTGAACAGAGCTCGGGGACTTGGTTTGTTTTTTACCTAGTAAAATTTCGTTTTCTTAAAGGGTTGTATTTTTCTTTTCAGGGGTGTCATAGGAAAGCAGGGATACCAGTGTCAAGGTAAGAGGTATTGTATGAACTAAATCGTTGGGATCCTAAGCTCGCAGCAGGCATGTGCTGGGACTGATTACATGTGGAGGCTCCGTATGGTTTGTGTGCTATGCCCCCTCCCAAGAAGCGGGGCCCTGCTTTTTCTTTTTTCTTTTTTTGCCCCTGCCTGGCTATTACTCCCCCACACATACGTGTCTCCCTTGTGAGTACCACCTATGTGTAGGCGGCCCTTTGGCCTCCGGAAGCCCCCAGCCCACCCAGCCATTTTTGTGCCACTTGTAGCGAGTGGCACTTTCCTTTTTCCTCGTGAAACACAATACCTCAATTAGAGGCTGTTGGAAAGCCCGCTGGGTTGCTGGGTTCTGTGTGTCCTGTCAGCTCGCTTATTCTCTCGCTTCTTCCCCTGGTTATTTCCCTCAGTATCTCTCCATGGTCCTTGCTGATTCTCTTTTTTGTCCCTACTGTGGAATCATTAGCTCTTAAAAACTTAAAGCTCACTTGAAAGCACTGAAGACTTTTTTTTTCAGTTAGTTGGCAACAAATGCAAGGTTAAGTTGTACCAGATTGGAGGGCGGAGATGCAGTGTGGTCATGCTGAGGCTTCCCTGTGGTTGGAGCTGAGAGGCTGTCCCGTCTCCTCACCCAGCTCTGTTTGACTGGGGGAAGTTGGGTGGATTCTGTCGGGGAGTCGCTGTGTCTCCGTGCAGACAGCGAGTTACTTATCTCTTGAGCCACTTCCTGCCCACCCTTCCCCATGACACTAAAAGACAAAGCTACAGGCCACTTCTTGGGGAATATTAAACGGAAACGTAAAATTTGGCATGTAAGGGCATGAGCAGAGTAGAGTAGAGGGTCATCAAAAGAGAGGAAGGACCTTCCACAAGATGGACTGACACAGCAGCAGCAACAATGGGCTCAGGCATAGAACTACTGGGAGGACGGCACGGGACTGGACAGTGTTTTGTTCTGTTGTATGTAGGGTCTCTGTGAGTTGGAACTGATCGATAGCTCCTAGCAATAACAACAAGGGCACGAGCAGATGAGAAAGCATAAGAACTGCAGTGCCATAAAGCATCCGCTCATCTGCTGCCGTCCTCCCTGTCCCAGCAGCCACCCTGGGTGGAGCATGAGGGGGCAGTGAGGCTGCTGACAGACGATGCTCCCTGGGAGGGCTGGGAGTGCAATTGACCTTGGGATATCAGAAGCAAGAAAACTGTTCGGTGCTCCCGAAACAAGGGAAGACCACCGTGCCCTTTAAATACAAGTGTTTCATCCTTCTCCAGAGCTTCTAGGAAGCCCCAGTGGCACTGAAGGCGCAGTGCTTTGAAAGAACTGCATAGAGGACTTGGGGCGAGGGGGCAATAAGTTAAGACTCAGTGACAGAAGCACCCCCACCCCGTCGCTCCCCCGAGGCCTGAATCAATCTTGGGCTGGAAACTTTCTCGCCCACCTGTCGCTCAGCCTTCCCGTTTTTGCCGTTTGCAGTTTGCACGTGCGTGGTCCACAAACGGTGCCATGAGCTCATAATCACGAAGTGCGCTGGATTAAAGAAACAGGAAAGTCCCGATGAGGTAACTATTTATAACGTTGGCACTGCGGATGCTCTTCTCCGCCATCCCCTCCCTTCACTGCCTCCCCTGTGAGCCCCAAGAAAAACCTTATTCTTTGAGATCCCATCTCCTTCATTTTGTTGATCAAAAACGAAAGAAACCTTCTGATATGTGGCACAGTCTACAGAAGGAGCACGGTGCCAACTCAGTGTCACGTTTGTGGATATTAAGCCCAGAGCAGTATGGTTCCAGGGCTAAAGCCCACAGAAAAACGTGGGTTCTTTTATTGCATTATCTCATTGGAACACTGTACGTGGCTAATGGATGTGCGAATGGCTCCACGCGGCTCATAAACAGTAACAGAGATACCACACAAAATCAAGAGCCTTATCTTTATGAGGTGCTGGAGGAGTGGAATGAAATTAACAAATCCAAGAAGTACTTAAGAGGTGGAAATAACCACTGTAATAATGGTCAGAATAGCCAACATTTACAATGCATCGGTAACTTACCACGCATTTAAGCACTTTAATGTACTTAATCCCGTAACAACCTTAATGAAGTAGATGTTGCGATCATCTTCACTTTACAACAGAGAGAATAGCAGCTCAGAGAGGTTAAGTTAACTTGCCCCAAGTCACACAGCTAGTATGTAATGAGCCATGTCCAAGGGAGTCTGTTCCAGAGCTGTGCCCTTGACCGCTACACTGTGTTGTCTCTTCATCTTAGACAGTAGTGCCAGCTTGACTATTAGGGAAGTTGCTAGGCGTAAGGAAGCAAGAAAACTCAACAGTGAAGCTAGGATGCTTCTCGTTGAGAGACTGGGAGAATGATGGTACCACTTATAGATTAAGAAACCTTTTTGAGGAAGATGGCAGGTATGTGTGTATCTGTGTTCAGAACAGTTGATTTTCAAGGTGTGCTTTTAATTCTTGGTGAAATAAATACCATATAATAATAAGCCATGAGAATCAAGGGGTCAGAGCTGTATTACCCCAAAGAGAGAGTGGGTTTATAATTTGGCTTCCCAAAGCAGGGACTTATAGAGACCTTCTAGCTGCTTCTAAAATAATTCAACCAAATAGCATCTTGGCATCCAAAGCATTCCCCATCTTTTATCCCCTTTTGCTTTCTTACCCTTTCTGGAAAGCAGCAAGGAACAGGGTTTAGAACTGTGAGCTTCCATGTGCCTGAAGGGCAGACTGAGTGCAGTGCCAATGTTTTTTTGCAAGAGTTCTACTGGCATGGTTGAAATAGCAAGCCACTACCTGGATCTCCTGACTCCTGGTTTTGCATCAAAACCCAAATCCGTTGTTACCCGCATTACTTTTGCAAATAGATGAAAGAAAGAGACGGCTTGCTTGCTGTCTGACTTCCTTCCTTTCGTTCTTTATCCATTTAACATTTATTGAGCACTTCCTGTATGTTAGGCATTGTGCCATTACCATGGAAACCAAGAGGAATAATACACCTGCCTTAAAGGATGTCACCAAGTGCAAGCTGATGCAGGTTTCTATGCAACACACATTGTTCCCTCCTCTTCCACTGTCATCTCACTGACCACCGCAATTCTGTGAGATTAGATGGGACAGGTGCACTGCCATCTGCCAGGGGAGAAATCTGAGGCCTGAGGGAGTCAGGACACATACCTGAGACCTCACGGATGGTTCGTGGCAGATCCAGGCCCACAAACCAGATCCCTGAACTCCTGTTCCCAGTTCCTTCCCCTTCCATCTTGCCCCCTTCTCTTTCCTTCTTTTAAACAAGCACGAAGTGGAAGCAGAGTGGTTGAAAAGCCTGGCTCTGAATTCAGATCAAACCCTGGCTCTACCACTCATCAGCTTATGGGCAAGTTTCTTAATCTCACTGTGCCTTAATTCCACATCTGTAGGGATAACAATAGTGCCCACCCCATAATGGAGTGGTGAGGTTTAATTGAGACGGTGGTGCCTGGCGTGTGGTCAGCACCGATACCGTAGTGCCCTTTTGCCATCACATTGTATTTGCAATCTTTATCGTAAGTATCGTCAGCCCTGATTGAAGACCTGCTGTTTCCAAGGCACTCTGTGGGTACACCGAGCCCTGTTTCCACCATAAAGCTGCTGAAAGTCTGTGTGCCTAAGGCTTCCGTGCACAAAGCAGCATTGCAAGCCCATGGGGACATCTCATGAATGGCTCAATCAAGAGGTGCAACTTGAGTGCCGTGCACTGTGTACTGTGCAGGGTTAGAGGCTGAAGTCCTGGAGGGGGCTGTATGGAGGAGCAGGCCTGGCCTCGAAAAGCCAAACAGAGTAGCAGAGAACGGGTTCAGGGCATCATGAGCAAAGGCTCCAGGGAAGGAAGGAGGATTCTTCACCTTATTTCTCAGGGCTGCTATCAGCCGAGCCCAGGCCTGCCACCTGCAATGACGTTGGCTTCTTGGGGAAGAAGTTCTGTCTGCCCTCCTACCACGTGCACTGTAGGGCCCTATGGAGTTTGGCGGTGACTCTGTGTCTTGCTGTCCCTGCAGGTGGGCTCCCAGCGGTTCAGCGTCAACATGCCCCACAAGTTCGGTATCCACAACTACAAAGTCCCCACCTTCTGCGACCACTGTGGGTCCTTGCTTTGGGGCCTCTTGCGGCAGGGCTTGCAATGTAAAGGTAAGGTGCTGCTGCCCTACCCTTGTCCCCCAACCTGCATGATCCTTTTGACTCCTCATTTTAAAACATCGCTGTCCTCAGAGCCCAGAAAGTAAGTTACAGATTTGGTCAATGGACCGAGCACAAGCACTGGTTAAGCCCGCCTTAGCATCCCTGCATACGGGCTAAGCAGTCTCTGTGTAGGGACCTACCTGTCCCAGACTTTGCAGAGGAAAACACTGAGAATGCGGAAGGTGTGACTCCACTCATTACGACGGGTAACTAGCGGGAGACAGTGAGTATACTAAGTATAGAAATCATTTAAGGAGTGCAGGGGAAGAAATATTTTTGGAGTTAGGACCTAAAATAAGTAATAGGTACGAACTGGAGTTTCTCTATCATAGTACAGGGTTCAGAGCTTACTCTTGGAAGGAGCTAGAACTCTATCCCATAAGCTATCTTACTGATCCTTCACAAGCCTGTGGTGTAGGTGATCTTATCCTCATGTCTCCGGTGAGGGACCTGAGGCTCAGAGACTAAATAACTTGTTGATGTGACAGAGCTTGTTAACAGAAGAAGTAGGACTTGAATCTTGACCCTTCTTTTTTTTTTAAATCGTGATAAAATACATATAACGTAAAATCGGATATCTTAACCATTTTAAGTGTACGTTTCAGTGGCTTTAGTTACATTCACGATGTTGTACAACCATCGCAACTACCATTTCCAAAACATGTTCATCACCCAAAACAGAAACTTCGTACCCATCAACGGCTTTGACTGTTTAGTCTAGGGCCCCTTCCTGTGTTCCCTGCTGTCTCACCTGTGACTGTGTCTGCTCAAATGGGTGTGCCATGACGCAGGTAACAGCATACAATGTGAGAAGATGGGAACACGCTCACAGAAGGAAAGCATTGCCACTCACTGCAATAGGGAGTACAGGATGGAGGAACAGGTTTGGGCGCAAAGACGTTGAGTTGTGTTTGGGACAGGTTAACTTTGAGTTACCTGTGGGAAATTTATGTGGAACTCTTCATTAGTCTGTTGGATATTGTCTTCAAAACTCAAGGGAAAGGTCTGAATGAGCGTTTAGGTTTGGGATTTGTCAATGTCTAAATAGTAGTTGGAGACATGGTAGTGCAGTGGTTAAGAGCTATGGCTTGGCAGTTCAAATCCACCAGCTGCTCCTTGGAAACCCTATGGGGCAGTTCTACTCTGTCCTATAGGGTCACTATGAGTTGGAATTGACTTGATGGCAATGGGTTTGGTTTTTTGTTTTCAATAGTAGTTAGGTGTTTCTGGCTGGCGCAAATGGTTAATGTCCTCAGCTGCTAACTGAAAGGTTGGAGGTTCAGGTCCACCCAGAGGTGCCTCTGAAGAAAGCCCTGGTGATCTACTTCAGAAAAATCAGCTGTTGAAAACCCTGTGGAGTACAGCTCTACTCTGATACATAGAGGGTCACCATGAGTCAGAGTCGTCTCAATGGCAACTGGTTAAAATAGTAATTAAAGATATAAAGTAGATGCCATTCCCCAGGACAAGTACCTTGAGTGTGAAGAGAGAGGAGCCAAAGATAATAGTTGGGACCACAACATCCAAGGAGTGTGTGTGGGTACGGGGGGTGGGTGGCAGGGGGAGGAACCCTCATCCAGGGATGAGCCTGCAAAGGCAATGAGAGCAAAGGACCTCCAAAGTAGGAGGAAAATAGCAAGGGATGGCATCACAAAAGCCAAAAGAGCAGAATGTGTTTAAAAAAAAAAAAATTAAAAAAGAAGTGGTCCATGGTGCCAAATGCTTCCCAGAGGTCGTTTAAGGTAAGGAATGAGAAATGGGGTGAGATTTAACAACGAGAAGTCACTAGTGACCTCGGCAGGAGCTGTCTTGGTGGGGCAGTGGAGACGGAAGTCCAAATGCAGTAGGCTGAAGCGAGAACATTGGGTGAAGTTTTGGTATGTGATAGTCTACGGTGCGTTCACAAAGCTTGGCTGTGAAGGCCAGAGGGAGGCTTTCTTGTTTTTAAGTGAGGCATTATTTTTAGAATGTCATATGTAGTCAGAAGAAAAGCAGAAGAGGAGAAATTGATGAGCCAGGAAGGGGAGGGAGGGGATCATTGATCCCTTCGGGGTCTTCTTGGGTAGAATGATGTCTCCTCTCCTCAGTATGGAGGGAAAGCCTGAAGACCAGGCCTGGCTACATTTCCAGTGTCAGGGATAGGAGTCCAGGAGGAGGAGGATGGGCAAGATGATCATGTATGCTTTGAATCTGTTGAGGGCTTCACAATGAGATTGCTCTTGTTTTCTGAAAGAGGAGGTCCTTTCCAAAGTTGAGGGGAGCAGTGGCGGGGGTGTGTGTGGAAGGTGTGAGGAGGGTGATAGAGTTTGGAAATAACTGTTGCGGGAACTGGAGTTGATCCTGACTGTGTGGACACATCTGGGGTCCTGCATGAGCTTCCCAGCACCTCGGAGGTGGGAGCACAGCCATTGGAACCTCCCTTTCAAATATTCTTTCTAGCGTATGTTGCCTGAATAGAGCAAGGCCTGCCTGAAGTCCTCCTTGGCACTAGATGAGATTAAAACATCAGAAGAAGAAAGACATGGAGAGGGATCTCAAACATTCTCAGCAGAGGAGTGATGTGTTTTGGAAAGATGAATGTGGTTACCAAGAAGCACAGACCGTGCTTAGGATGGCACCCTGATGAGACGGTGTCTGGTCTTTAGTAAATATATTAATTATTGATCTATCTAGGGAACTTAAATGAAGATACCATCATCTCATAAATATTGATATTTTAAGAAAGCAGCCCAGATGCCCAGACATTGATGCTCGGGCTGCGGAGGTCCCTGGTTGACCCCGGGAGAAGGCAAGGCTGAGGGACTGTGTATTTGGCTCTTATTGGGCAGGAAACACTCTCACACATGCTCAAGTGAGGGGTACAAAGAGTGAGGATGCTAGGGGAAGGGTACATGTTCCCGGCAGCCCAAGGAGTCATGAAGGAGTCAGCCACATGGACCCTGGAAGGCAAAGGCTATTCAGAATTTAGGGTCCCCACAAAGGTTCGTCTGTCTTCTCTCTCCTCCTCCTCTGTTAGTGAGACTTGGCCATTTTCCCGTTGTTCTTGTTCTACCTGTTAACAGTTGGTTTCCATACCGTCATCTCTCTTGATCCTTTCTGAATCTCAAGTTTTTTTGCCCCTGCAGGCTCCTTACCCTGTGGACAGAGGCGTGGCCAGAAGAGGCCAGCATGGGCCCAGGGCAGGGCCCCTCTTGCTTGGGTCTCGGTGAGGTTCTGCTGCTATAATGACTTAGTAGAGAAATCAAGGCTTAGTCACGTGTCCAGGGTTACATAGTTAGGTCCATGGAGCTGCAGTTTAAACCTGGGCAGCCTCATTCATACCCTGCTATGATCCATGCTCTACCTTGCCCTCCTGCTAGGGAAGACTCAGCGGGTGTTCCTCTTTGCTGGATCATGCTGGGCTGTCCTCCTGGTTCCCTGGTCATGGTACAATATCATCCATTGGACCTGCTGGTCTGTGGCTTCAGCTTTGTGCTGGTCTCACTCCTGGGACTTGTTGTTGTTAGCTGTTGTTGTTGTTAGCTGTCGTATTCGGCCCCTGACTCATGGCAACCCCATGCACAATGGAATGAAACACTGTCCAGTCCTGCACCATCCCCATGAGCGGTTGCAGATTGGACCCTTGTGAGCTATAGGGTTCTCTTTGATTTTTTGGAAGTAGATCACCAGGCCTTTCTCCCTAACTCCTGGGACTAGGGTATAAGCTATTTTCAGAGAAACAGGTTTCTCCAGAGCTTGGGTCTACATGGAAAGAGCTGTGAGATTGGATTGTCCTGGTCACTTTGCCTTCAGCCACCTATGTCCAAGTGTTGTGTTTGTACCCTTCCGAAAATTGTCTCTTTGTCAGCCAGGTGCAGGGGGCATAATGGCCGCCATTTTACTGCTGAGGAAACAGAGAACCGGAGAGACTGGGCAACAAGACCATAAGGCCAGGGCCTGGACCTCGGCCTGAGGAGGGCCCGCTCTGCCCTTGGGCTTGCCCCACAGAGGGTCAGACCCTTGAAGTTGCTCACAGACAGTTGTTGGGAAACCGAGCTCCTTATTCAGGGGCAGAAAAACACTGACACTAAGTGAGCAGGCAAATAATCCATCCCTTTCTTTTGTCTTACGACTCAAGTGCCCGCAGAGTTTCCTAGTCTCTCTCCAGACTCCTTGTGGTCTGTCTGAGCACCTCAACCATCGTTAAACAGTCCAGAAATTAGCTTCAGAGTTTCAAATACTAGCTTCACTAAGTCTCAGGCATTCGAATGCTCTCATTCTTCTCTTTATTTTAACTGTGCTACCTTACCCAACCTGTCACTCCCACAGGGAACCTCCTGGGGCCCTTCCCCACCTGTATTTTATTTGTCAGTTGACACACGGAGTCGTTTCATAGCCGTCCCGCCCCCCTCCATGCCACCCTTCAGTGGGAAAGTCATCCGGTATCTTACGATTTTACGTACCCATCTCTAAACCGGATATGGGGTTCTCACCCTGTAGTGGGCTCCCCACCCCTATTTCTCTTCTGCCAACGCTCCCACACTCACGTCGCCAGCGCAGCAGTCCTGGAGTCATTAGCACTGAGGGTCAATTTAACAGCAAAGCCAGGCCTCCTCACCAGCTGACTGTCTGGCCTGCAGGGGCCTGCTGAGGCCTGCTTTTCCTCATCCTTGTCTGAGGTGGGCCCTGCCCTACCTGCCCACTCCTGCTCTGATCGCAGCTCTGCACATCTTCCCTAAGGCAGAGGCGGCCATGCAGTGCACCAGGGGAGGCCTGGCCTGGAGATTGTGACGAATCCCATCCCTGGCTCCAGGCATCTCTGAGGAGCTGGGGGAGCAGCCCTTCTTAATGGTGCTGGGACCCAAGGCCACTTCCCTGGACTGGTGGCCGAGAGCTACAGGCTATGCTATCACCTCTTCTCCAGGAACTAATAGAGAGCTTGTCGTTGGGTTTGAGGCAAACTCCATAGA